GTTAACCAGCAGCTCCCTGCCCACGGTGTGGCACAGTGGCCTGGCCAGAGCAGTCCTCTGCCTGTGGCACAGTGTGGCTGGCTCAGCCCAAGCAGCTCCCACTTGCGGCAGGTTCGATTTGGCCGCGGTATGGTGTGGTCCCAGGTGCAGGGAGACGCTCCAGCCGGCCTCTCCCACAGGGCAGAGGGCTACTCCAGCCTGGCCAGGCTTGCCACGGGCAGGATCCCAGTTAACTGGTTAAACTTAACATTTAACCATTAACTTTTTAAATGGGAATTTACATCCCTAGTAGATGGCATGGAAAAAAGCGTAAAGATAGTTGTAGGAGAAGCATATGAATGGGTGGCAAGGCTGGCTTCATCGTGTCAGGTAACGTCCGACTTATGGCCCAGTAACTGGCACGGATACTGATCTTGGCAGTGTGCGAGTTCTGTTTTTTAAATTGGCTTGAGTAGTTTTCTGTGTCTTGGAATATATTATTATTTACATAGTGGATTTATTTACCATGTTGTGGTCAATAATAATAAAATGGTGATTTCTAACCTTTTACTCCAGATACGGGCTTATTATGCCCAAGAAAGCACTGCAGAAAACTCTGATTTTGAAGAAACATTCAGTCTTTGCAGATGACTCTGAGGAGGAGGTCAGTTATCAATACATTTCTCCAGAATATCATTGAAATGTACACTTCATTCTGCTGCTTTTCAGTACAGGTTAAACCTCTAAAATCCAGGACACTCTGGTTTGGCAGGATCATGGGTATTGCTGGATCTGAGAGCCTCCTCTGGCCAGATTCAGAAGCACAGCCCCAGTGGAGGCTGTTTTGGTGGGGCGCACAGCCCCGGCCATGGCTGGAGGCAGTGGGGCTGTCCAGAGCTGCTGCAGTGGAGGGTATAGCCCTGGCTGGAGCTGGTCCCTAGGGTGCTGGGCCAGAGAGGTTCCCCTGTATGTTCAGTGGAGGGTTACTTTGAGCTGAGTATTAATTGGGAACATTTTATGGGCCGGCAACTGCTAATAAAAGAAGAACAAACTCAATATACATTTTATTTCTAAAAAGCCTTCTTGAGTAGCATGGACTAGTGGTTAAAGCAAAAATCTGTGCTGTGGAGATGTGGATTCTTTGCCTGATTCTCTACTGACTTGTGTGACTTGAGCAAGGTACTTTTTTAGATTTGTGCTGTTCTGGAAATGTTACCTCCAGAATCTCAAAAGACCGCGAATGGCTCATTTCTTCAGCTTGTCTTTATCTAAAATAAGTCTTCCCTAGTGCTTCTAAAAGGGTATGTCTAGACTACATTGTTTTTTGTTTTTTTTTAAACTGCCCTTTTTTGAAAAAACTTCACCTGCGTCCACATTGCAATCACGTTCTTTTGAAATTAAATTGAAAGAATGCAGGGGTTTTTTCGACATTGGTAAACCTCAAATTATGAGGAAGAGCTCTTTCAAAAAAAGACGTGTGTTGATGCAAAACAGGGACATTTTTCGTAAGAAGAGGCAATCGAAAAAAGCACAAGTGTTGTAGTGGCTGTTCTGTGAATAGCAATCAGCAGAGCTTGACAAACTGCTGTTTCTACTCGCTTGTGGCGAGTACATTTCAGCCGTTCGCCTCGTACACTGGCGCTGCATGTATGCTCAGCGCCGGTCTGGTGCATGCATGGGCGTGGCTGACGAGTAGATCTTGCCGTGGTTTGTCGAGCCCTGGCAGTCAGGGCTTTCTTTCGAGAGAGCATCCATGCAGTCTGGATGCTCTCTTTTGAAAAAGCAGATTGCTTTTACGATCCGGTTTGAGGTGTGGATGTTGTCTTTGGAAAGAAATTTACAGTCTAGATGTACCCTAAGTGTGTTGTCTGGGGTATTTCTGAAGAACAGGGTGCAGTTCACAGAAATCTGTACTATTTTTAAAGGGCTATGTTCTGTTTTAGGTATTTTTGAAATGCAATTCAGTGCTTTCATAGTCTGATCCAACTTCTTTTGAAGTCATATCTGGAACTTGATAAAAACAGTGCAAAATTAGCACTGATGTATATGCAAATTCTTACTTATTTTAACACGGTAGGTATAAACAGTCAGAGCCATACACCTGAGAGTTGTCTGGCTATGCCATACTCATTTGAAGTTACTTTGTGTAGTTTGAAATAGAGTATAATTTATCATAGGTTGATCCCTTGAGTTTCATCCCTAGTAGATGGCATGGAAACAGTGAAAATGGCTATATCCGCGGCCTATGTATGGGAAACAGTGAAAATGGCTATATCCGAAGTGCTAGCATATGTACAAAGTAAATTCATGACAGACAATTATTTTCCCTCTTTAATCCCTTTCAGTTCATAGTACTAGTATTGAATTTTCAGATAGCAGTGTGATTCCCTTAACATTTTTACTTGATACTTTATGCTCAAATTATTTGGCACATTAATAAGGAAAATATTGTTGGCTCAAATTTGAGTTGACATTTACCTTTTAAAAATCAAATGTTTACAAATTAGAAGGCCAGCAGAAATTATTAATTTGTTCTAAACTATTCAGAATAACAGTAATATAGTTTTTGCAGCAGTCAGAACCTGAAAGAACAGATTACAAACAAAACTTTGAAACCAATTCATTAATTTTTATTGTCCAAGCTGAAGGAATGCAAAATAAGTAAATGGTGAAAAGGAAATTGTATTATTATTTTAAATAATCTGTGGCCTTATTAGTAACCAAGAAATTAGTTATGTAAAATTGTGCAGCCTACTTTTTAAAAAAGTAGTAATAATTTAATAATTTCTCTGCTCCAGCAGAGGGTGCAGCAACCCACACAAATTACATTTTGATGAGTACTGCCACAGTCAAAGGTATTGAGACAACAGTGTAATGGGTGTTGAATAGATCTGATTATTTTACAAATAACAATAATTATCTGTTAAATTGTTATATAACAAAGGAGTTGAAACCAGGCTCTCTCTCCTCTTTAAATATTGCCTTGTAGATAAAGAGAAGATAAGTAAATTCAGAATTATGGCGCTGGAGTTACAGCATATTTAACTTCTACATCAGATAACTACAATGTTATGTTTTTATCCACCAAAATTTACCCCTGAGAATATTAATCATGCCCATAGTCTGAATTTTAAACTCTAATTTACAAATGTTATAATTCATTTAATATTATGCACACTCCATTTGCCACTCCAAAATTTTTCAGTGGCGGTAAGAAGAGTTCTGTTACCCAAGTATTAATGTTGGTTTTCTAAAACTAATCTTTGAGGGTTTTTTCTGTTGTGCGTGGGGACAGTCTAGAGCAAACCAGAGTGGAAAAGAAACACAGGTCCTTCATTCGCATAGTTCCTGGGCAATGCACAGACTGCCCCTGGGAAGTAGCAATGTCATATATTACAGAAGAGAAATGGGCACAGCAGAGCGACCAAGGATGGGATCCACAGAGCTGTTTAGGCTCCTTAAACTTGATTTTAGGCTCTGCTGTGATCCACAACCTCCAGCTCAGCTAGTCTTGTAGGCATCTCAACTCAGGTGCCTAAGTTTTTGCTGTAAAAGCTTCCTAGGGGCCTATGGTTCTGCTCTCAGTTCTAGTGTTCCATGATTATATGATGAAAGGGACCTTGAGTCCAGTCCCCTGCCCTTGTGGCACAACCAAGCACCGTCTAGATCAGCAGTGCAGTGCGGCTATCCTCCAGCGGGGTCGGAGTGCCTTGATCTGGGCCAGCCGGTATTTTCTTTTCCTGGCTCAGTGCCCATACACGTGGCGGGAGTAGCAGGAGCAGAGCGGCAATTAAAATGGCTGTGCTTCCCTCCCTCCCTCGCCCCTCCCCCCCCATTTTTTTTCCGGACCCCTTTTATTGGATCCAGGGGTTGCGAATGCAAAAAGGTTGTCCACCCCTGGTCCAGATCATCCCTGATGGATGTGCACATGATCTCTGATCATGTGAACTGCAGCCCTACTCTAGGTGACTTGGCCCCTATCTGCAGCCTAAGTCCTGGAGTCCTTCACAAATTAGGGGAGAGATGGGCCTTTGGCCATGTAAGTCGCATGCAGGGCCCAATCCAGCAAGCTCTTAGTTAGCAACAGCCAAGGGGAGGAGCAGGAGGAGGACTTGTACAATTTATAGCTGAGTGGTTACCATTTTTCACCTTGTGCTGCAGCAGGCGCATGGGTCAAGTTTACACTCATGTAAACGGTGGGTTCTCTCTCACCTGAAGTCTTTAAATCATGGCTTGGGGACTTCAGTAGATCAATTGGAGGTTAGGTGTCCTTTACAGGAGTGGGTGAGGTTCTCTGGCCTGCCACAATAGATCATGGTTCTCAAGCTGTGGGTTGCCACCTCATTTTAATGGGGTTGCCAAGGTTGAGTTAGAGTAGCTTGGAGCCGAAGCCTGGGTCTGAGGGCCATGAGCTTTGGCTCCCCCACCTGGGATGATGGGGCTCTAGCTTCAGTCCCCCCTTCTATGGTTGTGTAGTAAGTTTGGTTGTCAGAAGGGTGCAGTGCAGTGAAGTTTGAGAACCCCTGGAGTAGGTGATCAGGACGGTCCCTTCTGGCCTTAAAGCCTATGAGATGTGGGCTGTGGAAGACTGCTGGTTCAGGTCTTCCTTGCCTGGTATGGGGAAGGGAAGCAGAGTGCCCTAACCACTAGGCTGCGGAATCTCCTATTAAAGTTGTTCCACTTGAATGAATGAATGATTAAATACTGATTATGCCAGAACAAGAGTTGGAAGATTGTGTGTCCTAGTGGTGAGGGCATTCATTTGTAAGTTGGCCGTTGCCTGGCAGCTGAATGTCTTACCCCATTGCGTGACTGAGCATGTGATAGGTGCCCCCCTGTATCCAGGACTTGGCACCAAATTCAGAGAGGGGGGTGCAGCTAAGCACACACAACCTTATTGCATTTTCCATAGTGTGCCTTGGGTGGCTTCCTGCATACCATGCTGTCTTTGTGCATCACATTCTGAGACATCTTCCTCCCCCCACTCCTTTTATAGTAGCTTAATCCAGGCTTTGTGGCATGCATTTATTCCTGTGATGTTTTTTTTCCCCCCTAGGCCTTTAAAAGTTACATGCTGTGGAGCTCAGCATCACAATACCTAAGTCTCCTTTGTGGGTCCAGGCCTATGCGACTTGCCAAAGGTCTATCAGGAAGTCTGTGGTAGGGATTTGAACCCATGTCTCCCAAGCCAAGGCAATGCCTGTGATCACCTTGCTGTCTAATGTATGTCCTTCCACACGGAATGAGAGGATTGGGTTGCAGAATGAGGACTCTGCAGCTACAGAGACCTCCGTGATTTGAAAGTGACAGTGGGAAAATTACTGGTTGCCAGTCAAACTGTGTTATGTCTCAGAACCCAAGTGCTTTTGTCCAGGAACATTTTTCTATGCATGTAGGTAATATTAAAACTGTCATTGCTCTATAAAGCCTCACTGAGATTCATGAAAGCATCTCAGTCACTTCCTTAATATGCTACATATAAAACCAAAACAACGAAAAGCAAAGATTGCAAATGGCAAATTTTAATGTGACATTTATCACTAACCAAGAGCTTAAATTCCCTTTCCTCCAAAGGATTTAGGATGGAAGTTGAAATACTGTTTAACTACGTCCTTACTATCAGACTCCACTATAACAAATCACACAGAAGTTACCATGTTATGT